AACTTCTGTAGTTGATACCCAGACTGAATCTATCCAAGCTAGCGAACATGCATCAATTGTTTTACCAACCCTACACCACTGTATCAATTCTTCCTTAGTCAAACCTGTCGGACATTGATATGAGTCTGCTAATGTTATCGTATCACTTGTTTCAAATGAGAAATTATTGTTCGATAATCGATAGACAACATGTTTTGCTTGAACTGTTAAATTAGTTCGTAGTTCTCGCACCTTTGAAGCACGTGCTATTCGCTCTTCGTTTGTTCTATTGTATCGTTTTATAATTGCTTGACGGAGATTTTCTTTTTTCGTCGGATTTTCAATAACATCATACCACGGTACATACTGAAGCACTCTCAATAGAGCAGGATCCTGTACAATGGATTTTTGCCATAAAGCCGTATCACTAACGGCAAGCATATTACCGCCAATGAAATGATCAACTGGTTTCATTCGGCGAACAGCATAATAATAAGTTAGACACGGTGGATTCGCAAGCAATTCTTGCTTCAAGTTTTTTAACAGTTCTTCCTCTGGAATACCATCGGTGATGTTAGCTGTACGAAAAATACAGTCTTTAAATATCATTTGTTGTTCTTTCATCCCTCCTATTTCCGTGGAAACAGCAATATGTGTCCCCCATGCGTTCATGAAATCATTATACAATTCCTCGTCATAATCGTTGGTTAATTCTTTAATAGCCGACCGAGCATACCTATTTAATGGTAACAATGTTGGAGTATCGGCTGCCTTCATTTTCAATGTATAAAGAGTTGTTAAATGTTGCGAAATGGACATAGCTCGATTATCGCTGAAAAATTCCTTATAGACATCGGAAATGTCTCGTGCACTAGTCATTCAAAAAAGACGTTTGGTTTCTCTTCCCTATTGATTTTCTCAAAAGTAGGAGTTGATATTCATATCCAGAAATCCGGCCAAATGTGACGAACGGACGAGTGAGAGAGAAATGGAACAGAAATCAACACACCTCTGAACATTTTGACATAAATCGATCATTTTACATAGGTCCCTATGATTTTTTAAGAACGGGGGTACTCATTTTACCCAGGAAAAAATCCACTAAATTTCTTGATTCTCCCAGTACTGCTAGACAATTTTCTGCATTAGGAAAGTGAATTCGAAAATTATTTTACCACATCATTTGAATTCAGGTTGTCAAGCTGATATAAAATGGACAAAAACACGACTCTAAGCTAAAACCGTCATTCATCTCCCCCATATAGCACAATCTTTTGTCTTTGTGTACGATGAAAGCTGTATTCACAAAACGCTGTCAGTGAAGTTGATAGCACTTGAAAAAATCTACAAAATGGTGTACGAATAATTGATTTAAAAGTTTGTATCATGGTGAGCTTTTGAAAGCGAGCCATAACCCGAAAATTTCAGTTATGATTTATAAGGCGTTGGTCTTCTATCACAGGTTCGCACATGCAACATTGGAGAAGAGAGTTATTTGTAATCACCATGAGCAGGAAATGTATTATGGGAAAAAACAGAATAGTGAAAAAATATGACTTGAACAGATCGAAGACTTTCATTTCTGAACACTCACCTGCATTTTGTTTAAGCTAAAATAAAAGCTATCGGAAAAAAGTAACGCTACATCATTCAGCGCCGTTCTTTATGCTGCTTACGATTATCAGTTTTACTTCCTCCAAAGTGCAATTTTGATATCGTTGGTTTTAAATTACGTCTGAAATGTTATAATTTTTAGTTAATTTCTGGAATACTTCCTAACAGCGTAAGCTGTTCTACCGGTTACTTTAAAGTAGTTTCGTAGCTTTATTCAATAGTTATTGATCACACTAAGAGCGGCTAGTGGTTAAGCCTTTGATCACTTATAAAACAAGATCTTGTCAGATCTATGACTGTCTCGGGTAGAGCAAACAAGTATATGGGGGAGATAATAATGGAAAATTAGTGTTGTTGTAGAAAAGTCTTGTTCGTTTAATAGTAAACAAAAGCTTCTGTTAGCTTTTATTAGGTATGCACCGGTATCGGTATCCATACCGAAAATACCGAACTTCGCTATATACGGATACCGAAATGGCGACTTTTTTCGATTTTTACATTTGAAATGAGATAGTTTAGTGTCATAAGCAGCCAGAACACAAAAAACATTCAGCTGTGTATTCTGAGAATGTGCAGATAGAAAATAATGGAAAACTTTGACTTTAGAAAGCAAACAAAGATCTTATTTTGTGTCTCTGATTCTGAATGAAAAATTGAAAAAGTCGATATTTTTAACTGAGAATAATCGGAAAAATTCCCGTTATTCACATCCAAACCTGCAGAGATGGTATAACGAAAGAGAACATCATCTTCAATACCAAATAAAAAGTCACAGAGTAAAATAGATTACGTGTCGTTACGAAAATGTTCGCCGTAAGAAATTTTATTTTGAACAGAACGTTTTTGGTATAATGTTCTGTGAGAAGAAGATACTTCGCTTTTCTGAAAAATTTTTTAGTTCATTGTTTGTAATGGAAAAAAACCGTTTGAGGGTGCTCGCAAGTTACTAACAGAATTGGTGTCATTTTCCGTAGGCCAGCTGCATATCAACAGATAAAAACAACGAAAAATAACTAAAATGAAATTTTCCGTTGATCTATCTTAAAATAAAAAACCTCTGAAGTTAAAGAAGTTAATGTAAAACATGTGAAGTTTATTTTTCAATTGCTGAGTGAACTGTAAAGTCACTGGGCTCGCGCATAGATTTCCCTTGTGAGATCCAGAAAATCGATTAATATTCTCAAGGACAAGTTTCACAGTTAGATCATGATGATCTACGCTAACCAAGATTTTTCCAGTTTTCTCTTCGCTGTACAGCCACCGTTTCAGGTGGACATCTTTTTGAACCAGTTCATTTGTGAGTACTCACCACCAGACCAGCTTCCAGGATTTTCATTTCTTAACCAAACATCAACAAGCTCTTGTTCATTTCGAAATATGCGAATATCGGTCGTAGTCTGAGCACCATCAGGACTATAAAGTGCAGCTTCAGTCGGTACAATGAACGCTTGACCCGATTTTGAATCTGTCCATAGAACTGTACGGTTAGTTATGGTAGTGGAAAATGTGAGTTCCAAAGCGGGTAACAACAGCTTTCCTGTGGCAACATCAATAGCCATACCGATACCCGTTGGTAATGGAAGGGGTAACAATGAAGAAGATCTTTGTCTCCCAGTTCGCGTGAATACTCGACTTGATGAATTATGTCCTTCGTCGTTTGGACAATACTGGCTGCCGTAATATCCGATCATCGGACAGAGAGCTAAACGCGCATCAGTCAGATCAAATCTAGGTGATACAGTACGTTTCTTTCGATCAGGTCCGCATTTGAATATCGTAGACGGTGGTGGTGTTGAATCTTCCATTGATTCTAATCTGCTTATGAAAGCATTTGATTCATCGACCGCCACTGATCGATACAAGAAGAGAGCCTCTTTCATGGCGTCACGTTGACCACCATATGGTAAGGAGGCGTCCACATATTACGTCATAAATTTTGTTGCAGTTTTTCTCCCTCCAACTTTTCCATACGTCAGAAAGTAACAGCAGTAATTTTCGTTTTATTAAAATACAGATAATAAAAATAAAACCAAATATTTCAACATTTCGAGCTTTTAAAGTTCATTTTCAACAATATATACGGAAACGTGCCAGTAGCTGGTTAGATTTGCCAGTTACGACTCATGCAGAGAAAAATTGTACAACAGAAAATCTAAATTTCTCCTTTTTGGCTTATTCTGTTCGTCCAATGTCATGTTAGAAGATATCGAAAATTATATATAAAAGATGATATGAAGGTAAATGATACGCTTATATACTGAGAAAAAGATTTAGATATTTGAGGAAAGTGAATCTTCAATCGGCAAGGATAGGTTTGATAGTGGACATGCTACAGATTGGACAAACTTTGGACTTGTCCGACGGACCGAAATCCTTATTGTTTGCTACTAATAGGATTGCTTGTTGTTCACGCGTATAAACCTGAATTAAATTGTACTATGCGCTCTGTACCAATGCTAGTTTTTCCAGAGGGTCTCCCAAAGAAATTCGTTCCGAATTCTTTTAAGAAAAACAGATAGTACTATATATCACGATTGAATTTTATCTCCGTATTTCTGTGGTTGTTGTATTTTGAACGTTTAGTTCACCGTCTATTATTTTCTTTTTGTCCATATCCTCTAACGTGATCTAGGACGAACAAAATAAGGTAAAAAAGAGAAATTTAGATTTTCTGTTGCACAATTTCTCTCTATATGTATCATAAATAGCAAATATAACCAGCTAGGGACGGGTACCTGACTTTACATCGTCTTTCTGCCAATCGTATAGCATTTCCAGGACTAGTAGAACTCATAACGGTGATTACAAAAATCACCGTAAAACTTTTCAAAATGACAGCTTGCAGTAGCCCGGGCGAGGACCTGTAAAGACTTTCCAACAAAATTGTCTTTTCTATGGCGTTGTGATTTCAAAAAATGAAAACTTCAAACTGCTTTCACAAGTACTACCACATAACAACACGGGGTTTTTCACAGATAACTCAACTCTTGAGTAACACTTTGTGCTGATTAGGAATATGATGTTGGCTTGGTATTTAAATCTAGTAATTATCGAGCAATTCCGTGAATTTCACGTTCCTACTAGAGTGTTTTAAAAACTTTATTTCAAAACTGAACTTTGCCTCAGCATTCAGAGCCGTTTGTTTATGTTCCATGTGTTTTTCACACTGTCACACAAAGATAGAGATCAGTCCTACGATCCACACAATATCACTTACTGCGACTAAATCACTTAAAGTTAAGTTCTTGGATGAGATCTACAAAGCAGCAGGTATCTGGAACTACTAGTTCATGAAAAAAATTAAATTCTTTTAATAAATATTTTTAATAAATTCATAACTCGAACCTAAACCATAACTGCAAGGATCCACTGGGTAGCGGTAATTGCTAATTACCGTTACCGTTAAACTAATGGAAACCTACTTCAAAAGGTGTAAGTCAACTTGCCAGTTGAGATGCATCAGGATTAGATATGAGCGAGACCAAGGTTTTCTTATAGTTACGGTTCTAGTCCTAGTTAAGGATTTCACGAGAAGAGCGCAAATTTTTCGAAAAATGTTTATTGTCTAATAGTCTCGGTCCTTGTTCAAAAACATTTCTGTTCGCATCATCATAGTCGACTCTCCTCTCAACATTAATGACGTAACGTAATATATCGATGTTGCCTAACAGAGTATAAAGAGGCATCAAAGTGTAGGTAACTGGTCGTGCACGGTATTTGATTGACGCTAGCCACTCACCAAAGCGTCTTCTATGTGTTGTTTCAATACCGCCAATCAACTGAAATCGAGAGGTCAGTGATTCATTAGAATATTTTGAGATCTCTACATTGTATGACTCAGTGGTTGACGATAAACTGATAAACCACCAGTACTGCATCACTTGTTCTCTCGCCCATATTTCATTTTTTTTCTCAACGAAACATTTTTGTAACCAATCTTCGGCCCATGCGATTCCACCCATTTCAGCTGAAACAATATAATGGGTACCGTATGAGAGGAAAAATTCTCTCCAAAAATCAACATTTGTCGAATCGTATGTTGACGGAACTTCGTTAAAAGCACGTTTAGCAATCGGATTGAGTTTAGGCCGAGGAAAAGATGCCACTGCTAGGGTGTACCAGATGATCTGTTTATATGTCCATGCCAGAGAAGAATTATATTGATATCTCTGTCTATATCGATTCTCAACAATCTTTGTTGAAGATGTCGCGCCAAATCCAAAGAAACCCCAGGTATCCTGTTGTGTCAAAGAGTACGTTTCCTGGTAGAATTCGGTTAAGTTGGAGAATATTTTGCTACCGTGTTTGACTAACATCTCCGGTGTGTTCATCACAAAATATCCATTTGGGATAGAAAACGTGGCGGAAGCATTAAATGGATCTGTCCAAGAAGTGTTACTATTGTTAATATTTAACAGACAAAATTTACTTTCAAGAAAGGTTATGTCAAATCCACAACCAACCACATCCAGACCAGGAATCGGCTCTAAAGTATTTCTAACAGCGTTATTTATTTGTCGTTTTTGACGTGTAGTATTTATTTGTGTTAATATCGGCAGGACACCGTATTTCATATAGTAATCGATGGTTCTCTGAAGATGTTTTCGAATCTTTTTTGAATAACTGCTGATCAAATTGGATAGACTTGAAACTGTTCGATTGATGACCGCGGGTGAATCTGAGGCGGTATCTAGCCATTTATTCATTGATGCTACTGGTGGCAGGTACGTTATTGCAGTTCTGAAATCGTTAGATCTTGATTTACCAGATGTTCTAGCTTGAAATTCATCACTAATCACTTTTTCTGTGATTGCTCGGCCTTTTCGTTTGAGATATTCTTCACCGATAAACGTATATATGTGTATCCGCCCACCAACAATGACAGAAGAAACATAATGTGTACCAAATCGTGTTATCAGTTCGTTATAGGCCGTTTGTTGCTCTTCAGTTTGCACTTCTTCAGTTAATGTCTTAAGATGGGAGGTGAACGCTGCATCAAATCTAACCAAACAGAAAGGAGATGATGGAGAGTGCAGCGGATACGGGAAAAATGTGGCAAACTTATAGTAAGCTATTACACGCAAGACATTGAAACCTCCCAATTTTTAAAATCAATGATTTCATTTGATTAATTATTCATCGTCAGAGATATAAATTTCCGATGTTTGTATCCACCAAAAAGTCTGAGAGCCAGAAACATGGGATTCCATGTTTCGTGAAGAGGCCGGTAGGAGCTAAATTTTTCGATTTTTTCCTCTTCTATCCAAACTTTCGCTCCCTACTCTGACACTTTCAGAGAAAACTATGCAAGAGTTACACAAAGCTATCTCAGTCAATTCCTCCTCGACATGGCATACCAACC